CTTTCTTTGACACAGTTTAGAAGACCTTATCTTTGTGAAATCATTCCTATTATTGAGGGTTTTTTCCCTTTTTTTTTCTTTAATCCTCTGAGAAACAAAATAAAAAAAGAAGCGTGACTAAGTCATAAAATTTTATTGGCTCTTAGCCCTCCACATAGTCATTGGGGTGGTTTAGTCTGGAGAAAAGGAGGCTGAGGGGGAGACCTTATTGTGCTCTACAACAACCTGAAAGGAGGTTGTAGCCGGTTGGGGGTTGGTCTCTTGTCCCCAGCAACTAGTGATAGGACAAGAGGAAACGATCTCAAGTTGCACCTGAGGAGGTTCAGGTTGGCTATTAGGAAGAGCTTCTTCACTGTAAGAGTCGTTAGGCATTGGAACGGGCTCCCCAGGGAGGTGGTGAACTCACCATCCCTGGAGGTGTTCAAAAAACGTTTAGATGTGGCGCTTCAAGACATGGTTTAGTGGGTTTAGCGGGCATGGTGGCATTGGGTATATGGTTGGACTTGATGATCTTTGAGGTCTCTTCCAACCATAATGATTCTATGATTCTGTGATTTAGATGGAGTAAACCTTTAAATATCTTTTCCTGCACATGAAGTACTGCTATTTTTCTTCCCCGTGCCAGCCTTCAAAAGCTGCCTATAGCCCCTGCAAACGTACACACACTTGAACTTCTGAGGCTTCAGATGTAGCAGTGTTCAAGTGCCACAGTGGACTATTTGTGCATGTTCTGTGGAGTAATTGGCTCAAAGCAGTACTGGGTTTTTGCATCCAGTAAAATCCAGTAGAAAGTCCGTCTCATGGATTTCTGACAGGAACCAAGTGCCGTTGTGGTTTTATAGAAGATGTATCAGATGACAGATAGAGGGGAAAAAATATTCATTCATATAAAAATATTTGCTTATTTTCTTAGAATATGTGTATAGCCAAAAGCAGATGTTTCTTCAGAATAAGTGTAAATCAGATTAGAAACTGAGGAAAATGGAGAGACTGACTCCACGCATTTCTGAAGACTAAAATACAGTAATAGAAGCTGCTAGCAGAACTGTGTCTTTACATATTCCAGACACTGTATTGAGCTCAAGTAATTAACTGAGGGGACAAATGCAGCGTGCTTGGTATGCGGTCTTTGTAGCATGCCTATTCCTGTTGACCTATACCAGCCACTGGGTTGCAGACGAGCACTTAACCACTGCTCTCCCTTTCAGCAGCAAGAAACACTGCAGGGTTGGGCCACATGGCTGTCTTAGGGAAGTGTTCATGCATCGGGAGTGATGAACCATGCCCAGAGGTAATGTTAGCACTTGTGCCCACTCTGGTGTCTTACACAGCAGAGAACTGTCCAGGTCCGCACTGGAATTTGATGAAAGGGTTTGAGAGGTTAGGGCGCGAAGGTTGTGAACACAAGCAGTCCCCAAAGTGAACAGAGCAGTTCCAATCCAGTGTAGTCCCATTTGTTATCAGTCATCCGCAACAAAGATTGAGAAATTCCTCCCTTGCATGGAGGAGACACTTGTCATGGGTGATTCGAAGTAGTGTGCGTCTCCTGTGACAGTTTTGAAAACTATTTCATCTGACCTCAGGGAACCATGTGCATCTGAGGGGAGAAGACACATGGCTTTATCAAGGAATTTGAAGGTGATGGGAGACAGAATCACACAGGCACATAGTACAAACTAAACGCTGTACAGTGTAGAAGCGTTAGCACAGCATGCTACTTGAGCTAACCCACCACACGAGGGTAATCGGGGAATATGGTTCCTCTCAGTTACACCTCAGAAACGGGGTTAATGGCTTTCTGTGGTTGTTCTGGCTTTCTTAGGTAACACAGCTGGCGAGTTACTTTGAACCCTTGGTTTTAGCCGCAGTTGGTGTGGCATCCAAAACACTTGATCATCAGCAACAGATGACCGTGTTGGACCAGAGCAAGACGCTTGCAGAATCTGCCTTACAGATGTTGTATGCTGCCAAAGAAGGGGGAGGAAACCCCAAGGTATGGTTGCTGTGTGTAACTAAGGGATTACTGGAGAGGGGTGAGGGGAGAGGGCAGGTGGGGCAGAAAAAACAGCACCTACCTACTGCGCAGGTCAGGGATACATTTGCAGTGAAAATGCCATTGATGGCCCTCCTGACATGTCTTATCAGAGAGTGGAAACACTTGTCAAAGAAGGGATTCCAGTCCAGCTCACAGCATCCTCACAAGGGACACAAAGTCAGGGTCTGACAGCAAGTATCTATGCACTACTACAGAAACCAATCGGTTAAAAGACAGAGCCTGTCTGCTGCACAGCCCAGTGGGCAGGGCCTGCTGGCCCTGATGCTCATGGAGGACACCCCAGACCACCTGGAAGAAAGGACAGGGCCTGCTTTCTGCCCTGAGCTCCACGTGAAAGCGCGCACCATCCCACAGGCCACCCCACAGTGTAAGGAGCGTGCAGGACCCAGACTTCATGCCTTCACCCAGCGGGCAATCAGCCACGCCCTGTCCTGCCCTCAAGGACGTGACAGACCACACCCTGTGCCATGCAAAAAACGCATGACTGGGCACACACTCTGCTGTACATACACATATGTCATGGCCCCATCCAGCGGTACCTTGCCCATAGCGTTGCTCCCATCATTTTACAGCGTGCTTCTGGCGCCTTTCTCTGAGGGATGCCATCGTGCTGCCCTTCTTTTAGGGTTTGCTGCATACACCTTTCTCTGAGGGGCTCCGGCATGCAACACTTCTTATACAGGCGGTGTCGTGCAACACTATGTCTTCTGGCGCACTTTGCGTGCCTTTATATAGAGGAGCCGGCGCAAGACACTTTGTCTTCTAGTGTGCCTCTGTTATACTGGTGGCTTTGCGCGATGCATTTTTCTCTGGTGCGCCTCCTCTGCCTTTCTCCGAGGGATGCTCACGTGCCCCACTTGTTTTCATGCCTTTTTTTTTCAGTTGTGTGTGTTCTAGGTTTTGGGTTGGTTTCCTTTTCTTTTAAAAGTTTTTCATTAATATTCAAGTAGTTTTTTTGAAGTAGGCTTTTGATTGAAGAAAGAGGATTTTTTTTAGGTTTAGCGTTTGGTTTCATTTACTGCTTTAGAAAAATCGTGGTTGTGAAATTATTCCTTAAGACTGTTTTTTGTTAGTCTTTTTTTAGTGATATTATATGACTGTGATTATTTTTTTTCCTTCCTTTATATGTCAGGCATTTTCTCTTGCTCATGTGTCTACATGTGTCATTTTCAAACATCTTGTTTTGGTACAGAAGTAGACTTTCACTGTCTGGTGCTATTTTTGCCTTCCTTTATCTTTGTTGATTCTGTTATGCATGAGTCATTTTCATAATTTTTTATAGAAAATGTTGTGTTGCTTTTCTAAGCGATTCCTATTTGATATTGTGTTTTCTTGTCTAAGCAAGATTCATTCTGTCAACATTGCTGTTAGATTTAGCTTCTCATCTTTGACCTGAAAGGGGATTTTCAGAGCTGTTATTGTATTTTCTTCGTTAATTATGCTTTTGATTTGGACATTGATTTGTGCACGGAATCATAGGATGGTTTGGTTGGAAAAGACCTTGAAGATCACCTTGTTCCAACCCC